ATTTTCTTGTTTGAATCAAGTTTTCAATTGTTTAAAAAGGCAACTGACTTTTGAATATTTACTTTGTATCGGTAGATCTCATTAAGCTTTATTAATTCTAATTTATTACCTCTGAATATTGACAGCTTTATATCTTTCTTACCAACACTATATCTTAAACTTTTATTTTTAAAAATTTTACTACATTGGATAGGGCCTGTGGTACAAAGTTGAATAGAAGTGTCAATACACTTTCCCAGGCTGGTCTCATTTTAAAGGGCTATTTCAAACATTTCATTTCTGGCATGTTAGTCCATTTACAAGCATTATGATTACTAATCCACAGGGAAGTGTAGCTAATATCTTACTACTTGCTTTTTATTCCACTGTTCTGTGCTTTTCTCTTGATTTTTTTTTTTAATTCTATTTTCCCCTCCCCATGGATTAGGAATTATAAACTCCACTCATTTTTAGCGATGTGTGCTATAAAACAAAACCAAACCCACTGCCATCAAGTCGATTCACACTAATTGCAACCCCCACTGGGTTTCCAAGGCTGTAAATCTTTATGGATTTACATACTTCCTCTCATGGAGTAGCTGGTGGGTTTGAACTTCTGACATTCTGGTTAGCAGCCACTACGCCACCAGCACTCATTTGTGTGTGCTACAGGTACTTATATAGATTTCCTCTACTTGATGGTTTCCTTCTTTTCCTAGTTTGCTGCCCCTTTTTAAACCATTATAGTGGTTGAGTATTAATGAATTCTTTTTCTGCATATATGGAGAAAATGTTTTTTCTCCATTTGTTAATGTGGTGAATTTACTTTTAGATTCCCTAATTAATCCTTGCACTCCTGATATTAATTCAATTTGAATATGGTATATCTTTTAAAAAATAAATGCTGTATTTGTGTTGCATATATACATATACATATATATATATACATATATATATATACACACACACACACATATATATATATATGCATGTGTGTGCATATATATATAAATACATATATATATGCATGTGTGTATGTGTGTGTGTGTGTGTGTGTGTGTGTATATATATATATATATATATTTTTTTAACTATAGTCTCGAGTAAGTTTGACTTGTATTTTTCCTTGGAAGGCTCTATACACTGTTGGAGTGGTCTGTTCATCAAAGGTCAATAGAACTGCCTGAATGCCTTTCAAGCCTGCCCTTTCCTTTTTGGTATGTTAGTCCTTTTACAAGTATTGTGATTTACTAATTATGTGGGGAAGTGTAGCTAACATCTTTGTGCTTTTTCTTTTTTATTCCACTCTTCTATGCCTGTCTTTTTTTTTTTTTTTTTTTTTCTTATTCCATTTTCCCTTTTCCATGGATTAGGAGTTTATAAACTCCACTCAAATTTAGCTCTTACCCTAAAATTTTATCAGGCTTTTTTAAACTAAAAAATTAATCAGTATCACAGTGCCTCTCCTGAATACAAGAATTTGGGAACTCCTCCCAATTAACTTACTAATGCCCAATATTCAATTGCTTTAACGGACTAATTTAGGCATGAGCTCTGGTGGCGCAGTGCCCAGGGCATTTGACTGCTAACCAGACGGCTGCCAGTTCAAACCCACCAGCCACTCCTCAGACGGAAGATTGGGCAATCTACTTCCATAGTGATACTGCCTTGGAAACCCAAAGAGGAGTCACTATGAGTTGGATCCAACTTGATGGCAGTGAGTTTGGTTTGGTTTTGTACCAAGATATTGTGCCATATTTGAAAAAGAACAAAGGTGTATTAAATGTGATTTGGAGTAAAGTCTTTTTTTATCATTCCATGACCCCAATTATATTTTATAGTTACAGAGACTAAACTCATCTGAGAAATAAAATGTGAAGCTTAAAATTAAGGCTCATCAATTACATGAATTACCAGACTTTGCAAACAGTATATATATATAGACTACTTTTCAAAAAAAAAAATAAAAAGCACTATTTTTTATACTAAAACTATGCTGAGCAGTAGTAAATTTATATTCAAGGCTTCAGGAGACACTTCCAGTTGGTGGCTACCATAAGTATTAGGATTATCAATTCATACTTAATAATGAAAATGTTAGAAAATAGACTTCTGTAATAACTACCAAGAATTCATTTTCTCTTTTTCTTCAGATAGGAATTGGTAAATGAGTGCTCACCCTTAGTGGCTTAATCTACTATGATCAGAAATATACCACATTCCCATATGAGTATTGTACAATTATAAAGGTAAGCCAAAGGAGCTCTGGTGGTAAGGTACTTAACTGAAGGTCTGTGGTTCAAACCCACCAGCCACTCCGTGGGAGGAAGATGAGGCAATCTACTTCTGGAAAGATTTACAGCCTTGGAAACCCAACTGGGATCACTATTGGAATTGGCTTGATGGCAGGGGGTTTGGTTTAGACAGAAAGGGTAAACTTATCCCTGTTTCAATCTAGCCTCCCTGACATACTCACACTTCCATGCCTGATACTGAGCAGAATTAATGCTTGTTATCACCATATTTTCTTCTCATAAACTCAACTAAACTCACTGCCGTTGACTCAGCCCCAACTCACAGCGACCCCTCCTTGGGTTTCCAAGGCGGTATCACTACAGAAGTAGATTGCCCAATCTTCCTTAGAATGCTTACTAGCTAACCAAAAACTGTTACTCTTTTTGAAATCCCTACATCTATGAATGGTACTACCATTCACCCAAGCCAGAAACCTGGCCTTATCAATTCAACCTCCAAAAGCTGTGAAAAGTTTCATCTCTATTCCATTTTCTTAATGGAAAACCTTACAATCTTCATTTTTGTATTGTAGTTCGTTATTTCTAATCCATCTTCCATGCTGCAGCCTAAGTGATTTCAGCAAATTAGTTTCCAATAAAGTTCCCACCTATTGACTGCAGAACAAACTCCCAGCCCCTTAGTATAGTTTACAAGTCATTTGTAATTAGCCCTGCCCCCTGATTTTTTAGCTTTAAACCATCAAGTTAGAGGAATATGCTATTATGCTATCCATAATATATGTTATCTTTATAACATATATGTTATCTTTCTAATGCTGTTTTAACGGAAATATTCCAAGTGGGTGGCTTTAAAAAACACAAATTTGTTTTCTCACAGGTCTGAAGGCTAAAAGTCCAGATCAGGATTTTGGCCGTGTTGTTTCCTTGTTGGTAGGCCCTGGCATTCTCTGGTTTCTTGGCAGTTCTCACGTGGAAGGTGATTTCTCCTTGTGTGACTGTTTCATCTGCATTTTTACAATCAGAAATGATTAGATTTTAAACCCACCCTACTTGGGCATAATTTTATTAACATGAGAAAGAAAACCCCAAACAGGATTACATGTACATGTACAGTCACAGGGGTTAGGATTCCAACATATATTTTGAGGGGAGACATTGTCTGTATAGAGGATATTAACTCTTACTCATCCTTTAAGACTTTAGTGCCCCTGACAAAGCTTTCTTGACTCACTCTGGCTGTTAAGGTCTCACTCCACTCCCATCTGTTCCCACAGTATGTGGTGGTATAATAACCTGATATGGTAGTAGATGCTTGGTTTAAATTTACCACCTACTCTGTATGAGCTTGCATCTTGGTTCTTCATCTAGTTAGTGAGGTTACTTGTGTTTATCTTATAGGCTTATTATGAGATAGATACATAAAGCCAGTCTCCAGTAATTATTACAAGTGTACCAAAAAAGTTCTCTTCACTTTTATATAAGCCTTTAGGTGCTTGTGGTAGGTTAAGTTTCTATGTCAACTTGGCTGGGCCTGGTTGAGTGGCTGGGCAGCTGGATGTATTACTCCCCATGACGAGACTGGTAATCAGCTCTATGGTGGAATCTACTGTGAGAAGCTGAGTAGCTGCCTTAGGGATATGGTCTGTTTCCTGTATATAAAGAAAAGCCTTGGGGAACGGTCTCTAGCTTAGGGCATGCTTGAACGCTGCATATAGCCAAGCTGTGGTTCAGCAGCCTGCCATGCTCTGCCGACCTTGAGACTTTTAATGGACTTGAATCAATGGCCTGCCATGTGGTTTGGTAATAGTGGGACTGTGCCTTGTTCCTTGTTGACCTTGGGCTTGTCAGCCTCAGCAGCCAGCAGCTGAGTGAAGAAAAGCTTCAAGTTTCAGTAGGCTGAGAGCAGGAGGCAGAACTGAAGCCCAAAGTTGAGGGGCTTTCATCCAGCCCCTAGAGCCTGGCACTTTGAACTCGGATTTAAAGGCTCCAAACTGTAAGCATGAACTCCTGTTTGTTAAAGTCATCCCATTTGTGGTATGTTCTTCTCAGAGAGGCACTAGGTAACCAAAACAGTACCCAATATATGCAAGATGCCAAGAATACATCTAAAAGATGAACAGGATATAGTTCTTCTAAAGGGGCTTGTAAACCCACCCATCAAGTCGATTTGCCTCTTAGCAAACATATAGGACAAGTTAGAACTGCCCCATAGGATGTCCAAGACTGTAAATCTTTTTGAAGACTGCTACATCTCTCTTCTGCAGATTGGCCAGACTGGCTTGGGGTTTTGAGCTACCAACCTTTTTGTCAGAGGCTCTGCGTTTTAACACTGAGCCATCAGGGCTCCTTCAAGTGGCTTGTAGTACATTAGAAACAGACCTCAGTAGTCTATACTAAACTCATTGCTGTCGAATCAGTCCTGACTCATAGTGATCCCCCCTTGGGTTTCCGAGGCAGTATCTCCACGTAAGTAGATTGCCCAGTCTTCCTTCCAAGGAGTGGCTGGTGGGTTGAACCGCCAGCCTTCCGGTTAGCAGTCAACTGCCTTAGGTGCTACGCCACCAGAGCTCCTTGTAGTCTATATTACATAAAGATAACTGACTCAGTGAATGTCTTCTGAATGAATGGCCAACATATATAAGGAATATACATAAAGTTTTAGGAATGCAAACGTCATACAAAAATTTTCTATATATTACCTCCAGCACATACAAAAACACTGAAAAGAATCTAAGTATTTAATAAAAAACACTTATAAAATAGGTATCATATCCATAAGGTTTATTTAAAAAAACTGTTAAAAACTAATCATACAGGAATATTTATTAATATACTTAAAAAGTCTATTCCCCATGTTGAAGGAAAATACATTAGCAACATCTTCCAGACACCATCTTTATAAAAGTAAAACTTCTAGATGCTGAAATGTACTACAGTAGACTCTATAGTTTACACTTTTAATTACAGGATTAGGTATCATTCTCCCTACTGCTCCCCGCAAAACGTGGCAGTTATTCTTTTTATATAAATGACATTCAGCCGTGTGGTACCACCACAGATCCTTTCAATAGAGTACACACTGCATATTACTAACAGAGTAAGTCTTCTCTATTTGTTGTCACACAATTATTTTAGATTAGCATTTTACTTTAAATACAAATAGAAATACTACATCCCATAATTGTAAACATTCACCAAGAGCTTCCAGAGTACAATGTGTAATAGAGGTGGCCTAAGAGTCAGTTAAATGTTCTTCATTCATTTGAATACTGCTGCAATTAAGTAATATTTTTTGAAGGCAAATTATCATAAGCCTCACTTGTATTTCTGTTAGAAAGGTCTGGATGTATAGTTTTAGTGAAAACACCTGAAAGTCATTCCAAAGACTACTTTAAGCACCATTTTCACTTACCTGAAATATATTGAGTTAAATTCAGCAGTATATGCATGATCATTAATATCAGAAATTAAAAATAACTGTGGGTGTCAAGGTACCCTTTGTGGATAATATGGAGTATTGCGTTCCAACTGATGCTAATAGGAACTATTCATGCATGCCAAGGGTAGCAACTTCCCTGGGCCACGTGCAACCCGTAAGTCTGAGGCACAACTATTACTTTTGTCAGTGGATGCTATACAAGCAAATTTAAGGCTGTATTCGGCTATAAAGAGTTCAATCTCTCTTTAATAGTCTTTCTATGTAGCTCACATACAAGTTTCAAAATCTCATAGGATAGGAGATGAAAAGTCCCCAAATGCTTTCTTCAATACTATTCTCCACATTGTGAGTATATTTACATAGGAGTGTGTCCAAACTTAAAACTGTTAAAAAAAACAACAAAAAAATTGCAACCATGATTTTCAAACTCTTATCACAACGATCCTTATTCTCACTTTTTCCCAACTTCAACTTAACGTTTGTCAGATTGTTCACTGCAGTCCTCAGGCAATTCTGATGTTGCTCCACAGGAGAATAAAAATTAAACATATTCACTGCCACCCACTTTGGGAGAGGCTTGGTTGCAAAGAAAATGGTGTTCCTGGTGTTGAAGGGTAACTAGGAAACCCATCAGGTTGAGCTGGGTAGCTATCCAGAGTCGAAGCTGAATGGACCTAATACAAAGAAGAAGGTGCAGTTTAGCAGAGTGCCACACGCAATCAAGACTCTCTTTGCATCCCCTTCCCACATTACAGACATTCAGAATAAGAAAGAAGAAACATGGGGCAAGATAAAGTTTGCTCAGTCTCTTTACATTTTTAAGAAATGCTGAAACTTCTTCAGGTATAGGAGGTACAAGGTAAAGCCACTAAAATACGTAATAGTCTTTAAAAGAAAAGTTAATAGATGTTCTAGAGAAAATATGCTTTAATGATCCATTATTTTAGCTTAAATTGTAGAAGTTAAAATTTAATTGTCATTGATAAGATTCCATTTTATTAAATAAAATCTCCAAAGTGAGATTTCAAAGTCTAGAAGCAATAAAAGCAATTCAGAGATAGATATATTCTACCACCTTTGTCACTATTCTGAGAGAAGACAAACATAATTTGCAAATTTGGGAAGACTAATCATCACAGCTCCAAGTATTCTGAGAAGAGCATTTTTTCTAATGTTGGTTTATCACACTTGCTATTTCAGTATTATCACTTTGTTGTTGCTAGCTGCAGGAGTTGTCTCTAATCCCTGATGACCCTGTGCACATCACTGGATCATTATGATCCACAGGATTTTTACTGGCTGTTTTTCAGATCACCAGGCCTTTCTTCCTCATCTGTCTTAACTAAACATCACAGCAACATGCAGGCCTTGACTGACAGATGGGCAAGGGTTGTGCTTGAGGTGTACTGGCTGGAAATTGAACCCAGGTCTCCCCCATGGAAGGTGAGAATTCTGCCACTGAATCCCCATTGCCCTCCGGATGTCATCACTATAGAGGTTATGTTATGCATGCTACCATTTTCTTTATGCCAGGCATTGCCTGCTTACCTGCTGTAACAATGCTGACTGTGCAGCTGCATTATGCTGTAATTCTTGCAAAGTAGACTGTGACGGATTCTGGGAAAACCCTGGGATACCTGGGAGGGATAAAAGGCCTGGAAAAACAGAGCTGCCTGCAGCTTGAAGTCCAGATGATAAACTAAAACAATAGACAGAAGAGCCGGTCAAAGTGCAGATTAGACATAAAAGCTACTGCTCCTTTATTTGTCAAATACTATCCTAAGGTATTTCCAAAAACAAACTAGAAATTTCTCTGTTGGAAAGAAACAAAATAGTAATCTAAGTCAACTACTCACCAATGTAAAACTTACTTCCTACTACAAAGTATATTTGTCTGAATTCAGTAGGTCTTATGGTTTGCTGTTTTGAAGTTAAATTATTAAGTACAAATCTGAAAATTATACAAACTGACATTGATATTTTATATATTTATCATAACATGGATGAATAGCCATAAAATAATTTTTGAGGACTGAAGACTCAGCTGATAAAAAATGTCATTTAGCATTACCAAACTGGATTTTGATTTGAGTAACTTAAGACTACGAACTCTATGTTAAGTGAAAAATGGTTTTATCCTATTTCCAAAATATTCACATACCCAGCTTGTGCAACCAGAGCTGAGTTGAAGTTGGAACTAAATGCTGATGCAAATCCTGGAAGGACTGGACCAGGTGATGGGGCTGTAGCAGCGACAGGCAGTGGTGTGACAGCAGCCACCGTGGAGGGCGCCTGCAGCCCCGGGAAGGAAGGGAGAGCAGGGGCAACACTGGAGGCATTAGAGACAGAAAAGCCAGGGTATGATGGATTTGAGGATGGCAGAGGTCCTTGAGTAACTGAAAAAAGTGAAGGAACAGCAGTCGACAAGTTGAGGGGGAAAGGTGCTGCTGAGACTGGTGCTGAGGCAGAAAGCCCTGAGAGAACCACTGCTGTAGAATTAGGATGAGAGAGAGATGTGGATGTGACCGTGGTAGAGGAAGTGGCTATCAATGACCCTGGAAGAGATACTGCTGGGCTAAGAGATGGGTTGCCACTTAAAGTAAAATTATTGGTCAAAGAAGTAAAAGGAGGAAGAGCAGTGAATACTGGAGCAATAGGAGTGGAGGAGCCATGTGGTGGAAGGGAAATAGAAGAAAGGGGATTTGAACCATTTAAGGAAGTACTCAGACTAGAAAGACCTGACAATGCAGGGTTAAGGCAAGTAGATAGACTGATGGGCACTGATGTTGACGTATATGCTCGGCCTAAGGTCCCTGACAAACCTAAAGTGCCATGAGAGGGATTAAGGGAATGAGAAGGACCTTTGAAGGCTGAGGGAGTAGGACTTCTGGGCTCAGTTTTGATCATAACAGGAAGAGTCGTTACAGCAGGGGTAGACGAAATATGCAGGTCAGAGTTACCTGAGTGGGGGCCGTGCAAAAGGGAAGCAGAGGAGCCACAGCTAACTGACACGGAAGCGGAAGATGAGGCAAGAGTAGCTAAAGATGACTGTACAGGCAAAGTAGGGGCAGTGGATGTGGAGTTAGCCACAGGTGATGGAAGGCCTGGGAACAGGGCCAGTCCTGGAGTGGAAGACCTCTGTGGGGCGGGGATGCCTGAAGCCACATAGTACTTGTTAGAGGCTGAAGCAGGAGCACCCGAGTTCTGATTACTAACAGATGATAATGAAGCCAGCCCACTTGTAACAGCAGAGGATAAAGCAGAAGAGTTGATTAAACTCGTATCATTTGATGTTAGGAAGCCTTTTAAAGCAGACAGAAGAGGATTATTTACACCTAGTGGACTAGCAACACAGGAAGCAGAACCACCAGCAATTACAGAAGGAGCTGGGGTGGATACAACTTGGGACACTGCTGTTAAGGGGAGACCTGCAAAAACTGATGACAATGAAGCCGAATTTGGGTTGTTGGTAGAAGCAGCAGTAGAGGTGGCAGAAAAGGGGAGGCTGGTGAAAGGGGTAGAAGTGGAATTAAACATTTCATTGGAAGCAGGAGTGGCCCGAGGGGTAGACGAAGCCTGAGGGGCTGGGGTAAGAGTAGCAGAAGAGCCTGGTAGTGGAACAAGGCCAGAAAAAACAGAAGGAACAGGGGTGGATGTTGTGCTATGGACAGATGTAATAGGTGCGACCGATAGGGAAAGGGTTCTGATGACTGTTGGATTTGGTGCTGATGGCTGTGGTGTATGAGTGGCTGAGGAGACCTGCCCTGGGAACACTGGAAGGACACTGTTGTGCATGTTCATCCCCAGAGTGGTGGCGATTGCTGATGCTGATGGATAATTTACTGCCTTGACCGGGGATGCAGTAGGGGCAGGAGTCACAGCAGGTGTTGAAGGATTAGAACCATGAGGAGAAAAAAGCTGATTTGCTGGGGTAGAAAATGCTGTGAAGAAAAAAAAAAAAAAAAAAAACAGGCAAGAATTTGTCATCATGCTGAAAAGTCAAGCTTTAACAAAAACAAACAAAAAAGGCATAAAGATTTTTGTAAGATTTAACAAATATCAAAGAAAATCAATGAAATATAACAAGTTATTGCAATGAGTCATGCTGAATCCCATTCCTCTGAATCTTCACTATGGTGCCTGTCTGATATGGCTCTCTTCTAGACCTTGCTCAGAACAGCTACCCAATTCCCAGTAAAGAAGCCTTAAGAAGCTAGTAAGTAAATGCTCCTTTCATATATTCCACTTTTTAAAATACAGAGAATTTCCCTTCATGCATTTGCTCATTCTGACCATTCTACAGCTACTCCCAATTTTTACCTGGTTTGCATTCAGCTGCTAATCAAAAGGTCGGAGGTTTGAACTCACCAGCTGTTCTGCAGGAGAAAGATGTGGCAGTCTGCTTCTGTAAAGATTTACAACCTTGGAAACCCTGTAGGCAGTACTACTCTGTCCTAAAGGGTAGCTGTCAATAGGAACTGATTCGATGGCAGTGGGTTTGGCTTGGTTTTGGTTGTCCTGGAAGCTTTTTTTGGGTCAGAAACTGTGGCTAATTCACCTTCACAGACAGCATAGTGCACAACACTAGTGTATTCAATAAGCGTTTGCTGCACTGGATATACCATGATTACCTCAAACTAAAGTTCCCAAACCCATCCAACAACTGATTCTCAAGACTTTTAGAGTTTACAATATTGTTATTTTGTGTTTTTATTTTGATAATTTCTACAAATAACTAATGTAAGCATTTTTTGAATGATGTAGATTTTCTCCCATGAATTCACTGAATTTGCTTTTGATGATTTGATTGGTGCCCAATGAAAACCACGACTTAGGCATCTCACGCCATGACGACAACCATCATCCATGCTATACTCACATCCACCACAGCAACATAGAGAATGTTTCTTTTGCAATGATAATCAACTGAAAGATAGTTTCATGGACTAAGACTTATGGTTTGTTTTTTAATCTTTGCATAATTAAGACTCAAATAACCGAAGGAAACTGACATGGCCAGTGAAGTGATGCACTATGTTAACCATGGGTAGAAAAGAGACAATAGGAAAGAACAGAGGTAAACAACATATAAATGATTTATTTGTACTCAGTGAAGGCCAAAATGTGCCATAATGAGCTGAAGAAAGTTTGCAGATGTTTTAGAAGAGAAACAGGGTAGGAGAATTGACACACAGCAGTATGTAAATATATGAACTTCAAACTCCAAAGAGCCTGAAAACTGTACCATATTCATGTTGTAACATCAGCTATCAATTTAAAGTGGTATATGTATGGACAGGGATTTGAACTTTTATTTTTATCTATTTTATAGTTTTATAAGTACTATTGCTGTTGTTGTTAGGTACTGTCAAGTTGATTTTTGACTTACAGCAACCTCAGTGACAGGGTAGAACTGCCCCATTGGGTTTTCTCGGCTATAATCTTTATGCAAGATCACCAGGTGTTTCTCCCACAGAGCCACTGGGTGGGTTTGCCAATCCTTTGGTTAGCAGCCGAGAGCATTACCATTGTGCCACTATGGATCTTTATAAAAGGTATAAACATAAAGAATATATACTTAGTTTTGTGTTTATAGAAAAATGCACCAAAAAATGGTTTATCAACACTGGTTGGAAAACATTTGAGCATTCACTATCTTATTTAACTACATGTCAAAGATCACATACTTAATGAAAGATCAAGGTAAAACCAAGCTATCCCCAGAATCTTCTTTATAGCAGCCTCTATTGGAAATCTTTAATAAAACATAGCAAAACCCAGGTACTATTAATCATAATGCAAAGTTCCAACCACACACCATGATCAACATCACTTTCCTGCTATTTAATTTGGCTATTAACCATAAAACACTATCTAAGAGACCCTGTGCTAAGTATTTTATATATATCATTTCGTTAGTCCTCACAATAACCCTCTGAGATAGGTAACAACATCTTCTGGTTTTTTAGACCTGCAATCTGACACTTGAAGTGGCAAAGAAACTTGTTAAAATATCATGCAGCTAGTACGTGGTAAAGGCAAGATTTGAACCAGGTCTGTCAGACCCATGTTCTTAAACCTTAGTTCAGAGACCAAAGTATGCCAATACTACCAATGGTACTTAGACACTTACTGTGATTATTCCCTTCAAATATAGATCCATTAATGTAGCAGAGGGAGCTCTGGTAGCATACTGCCTAAGGCACTTGACTGCTCACCAGAAGGCTGGTGGTTCAAACCCACCAGCCACTCCTCGGAAGGAAGGTTGGGCAATCCTACTTCTGTAGTGATACTGCCTCGGAAACCCAAGGAGGGGTCGCTATGAGTCAGGGCCCACTCGATGGCAAACAACAACAACAACAACAACAACAATGTAGCAGAATATAAAGACTAATGTTTCCAGACCAAATAGTACCCTTAGTTTTTTTATTTTTGTAGTTAAATGACCTGCCCAAGGTCACCAAGCTAGGTGGTGCAATAGCCACAATAAGAAAGTAGGTGTTCTGATATCTCATTCAGTATTCTTCCTACTCCACTCTGCTACCTTCTTCAGAAACCACCAGTTAAAAAACACCGCTTAGGCACTGTTCTCAGAGAATAGAGTTTTCCACTGAGATTCCTGACTATAAGCTCAGTATTCATGTGCTACTCTGCTACACAAGAACTGATTCCAGTTTTCATCTCATACCAGAAGGCATCTCATTCCTGAATCTTCAACAAGGAAAGAATGAAATGGTATGATGTTGCTGCCATCTGGAGGTGCCATATAGGCTATATTCCATCTTTATCATTTCCATATTCTGCTTTGGTGCAGGGGTTCTTATTATCCTGTGTGTTCATCAAAATGTATGTGAAAAGAAATGAGGCTTCCAGTATTATATAATGCAAAGCGAAGGTAGATTTAATGCCACAAAGTATTCAGATTACACTGCAAGAATACAAATAGGGTACAAATTTGTATGGTTAATTTTAAATACAGTTAATATGTACATTTCATGTTGTTTGTATAAAATGTATCACTATTAAACTAATTTTATCAGGTACTAATTACCTATGGATTTTTTAACCAGGAACTTTTCTCAAAACATAAAGATTTCAAATATTCTCAACTCAAAGTGAGTAAGAGAACAGACAGCCACAACAGGTATTAGTATCTCTGGATCAAATGTGGTACTTACTCTGATTCTGTGTAGGTTTTGACTGATTGGAAAGGTCTTCATTTTCTATATAAAATTAAATAAATAAAAGTTGATTTTAAGCTTTAGCCAAATTATCCACTACTATAATATCAGAGATGAGGGTCAAAAAGAAAAATTGAGGATATAAATATGTTCGTACACTATGCTAGGAAAAAAAATGTATGCATACGGAAAATGAAAAGAAAATATACAAAAATCATAAATGTAACTCCATGGAGATTAGGATAGGCTTTTGAGCAACTAGTCATGCTGCTGCCTTGCCTTCCCTTAACTTGTCAAGTTTTAAATAAACATTGTTATTTCACAGATACCTTTTAAAACACTTTCTGGAGAGCTGATGGCCTGAGTGTACCAACCAGAAGAAAACCTGGCGTACAGCTGGAGTGCAGAGGAGCCACTTCTGGGCACACTGTCTACAACAGCTGGAGGTTACAGAAGTTGGAGATGGCTGCTGACTCACTGCCAAATGCACTGCTGTCTGAAGCCAAGAGGATCACCCAAGCAAACAGAAAGAAATCTGCATCTGCCCACTTGCTGTACTCAGCTCTGGAAAAGGTCCTATGTCAGGAGCTATGAGGAGGTACCTTAGTCGAGGCTGACTTGAAGTCTGTGAGATCAGAGACTAACAACCTAGAGCACACTCCCTCCCACCACCTTCACCAGAAAGACCTGGCTATCCAGCCAATCAGCCATTGGCACCATGGGAGGAAAGTTACTGCTAAAGAACCCAACATAGTAAAAGGCATAAAGACAAAGGGAATGGACAAATTGCGTGTGGTAAGTGAAGAAAGATCACGGCTGTAGGGAAACAGGATTCTGTGAGGCAGAGTATGGCTACAACTTCACTTGCTTTAGCTCACTTTCACTTGCTAATTCACTCTTATATAACACTTGCTAGGGTGGCCTTGGAGGTCCAGGGCCCTACTACCATTCCACCTGTGTTCCCCAGAGCCATAAAACCCCTGCCTCCCTCTAGGGAGCAGAGACTTAAGTCAACCCTGCTGCCACCCAAGTACAAGCCTTGGTCAGTAAACCCTTGATAAACTCCTTTACCATCCAACCCACGTTGCTAGCCTCCTTCTTCCACCTCATGGTACCTCAGGCAACTTTCAAGTTACTAGTCCATGCCCACACAACTGATGAGTCAGCCAGGTGACTGGAAACATGGCTGATAAGGGAAAGGCAGCCTCTGGGGGTAATTCTGGAGGTTAGTGACCTCCATTTGGGAAGGGCAACCCATTTGCTGGAGGAGGAAGCCTGAGGGCTGGTGACTTCCATGTGGGGAGGTCAGGCCTTTATGCATCTACCAGGAAACTCTTCACGTTCGTGCAGAGTTCTGTGTAATTATCGGGATATCCTGAAAATGCCAAGTGGCACAGCACGTTGTGGGAAAGTATGTATCTTTATAAGGATAGAAAAGGGGCTAAGGGAGGGGTGGTAGCCAGAACAGGGGTCACTACTCTGGGCGGTATGGTTAGCCACCAACATCCAGTTAGCACACAGGTGTGTGTAAGAGCACTGCAGAAGCTACTATTAGAAAGGCATGGGTGACAATCATGTGTGGAGCCACAACTGACGTTCTGAACAGCCACCTCCTTGAACAGGGTGAACAGCTAGGTTTGCAAATGGAAGTGGAGGAGAAAGCAGTTTGGGGCAATCAAACAGTGAGAGCTTGAGTGTGGAGCATCAGTAAGAGAGCCCAGCCACTGCCGCCACCTCTTCTCCATAAAGCTGGAGTCCCACTTGGCCCTGTATTGTCCCAGCCCCACTTGTGCTCAGGATGAGAGGAGGCATCTGGACCAGGCCCCCACATGCCTGGTATGTGGGAAAGCCTCTTGCCTGTCCCTTTCAGTTTTCCCTTCTCACCCCTTCCCCACTTCCCTCTTGCTCCTGGAGTAGCACCATGTCAGTGTGTGTAGCCAAAGTCAGTAATCAGAATTTAACTCCAACCATAGTGGGGTGAGACAGTAAATTCTTTGCTGCAAAAGTAAAAGCAAGGCTCTTACAGATGGCCCTATCCTCTGGCAGCACCTACAAGCAGCTAGCAGCTCAGAGCCATGGGCCTAGGTGAAACTGAGAGGGATAACATGGTGTGTGAGCTGTGGGAAAAAGGGGGAGGGGCTGATTTTGGTCAACAATACCAACTCTGTGTCCTACTGACCACCCTCCAGAAAGTGTTCCTCGCCTGTGGGATTGTGGGGGAAGGGATCACCAACAGGTCAGAGCCTTGTGATGTCACCACACATTGGTCAGAGACAAACCAGCCATGAGTACTAGTTCTAGTTGATCAGAAAGTACCCTTATTTGCAGAAACCTTGAGTACTTTCAAGGCCATCCCTAAACCCTCATCCTCTGCCCCCCACCCCCACAACTGACATTCTGGGAGTGGACTTTCTGTGGGAAAATTCCAACTGCATGTAAAAGCAGTGAGAGCATCCTGAAACGTAACTTCCTGCTAGAAACCCTGAGTTGAGAGCTGGGCATATGTGCTGTGTTAGGTGCATTCCTTAGCATTCCTCTAGCCCTGCCTGCTCAGGATCAGTCTGCCTTCACCTGGTAGGGACAACGACAGATATTCTTAGTACCACCCCAGGGGTATTTGCACACCCTACCTACCATCTGCCACAGTATGGTTCCTATGGACCTGATTTGTTTTCTTTTCCTACTAGCGTCCATTGCTTTCACTACATTGACATTATGGTAAATGTTGAAGATGTTTCTCTGTTACAGGATCGTCTAGATGTTCTAATCACTCACATACAGGGGAGAGGATGGGCTGTGAATTTCCAAAACATACACGAGCCGGGAATGTTGGTAAAATTCCTAGGGGTCACCTTGGGTAAGCTCTGTATATTCTCTAAAACAAGAGTCATTCCCACATACCAGGTGTGTGGGGACCTGGTCCAGATGCCTCCTCCCAGCACTATCTCACCTCTTTCTCTCTCACCATGCTCTTTCTCACTGCCCTCTCGTCCTGAGAACAAGAGTGGGGCTGGGACAACACGGGACCAAGCTTATCTCACACCAAGAAGAGCAAAAGAAGTGCAGGCCTTTGTCAGTCTTTTAGGTGGTGTTGTTATGTGCCGTCGAGTCAGACCTGACTCATAGCGGACCCCTCCTTGGGTTGCCAAGGCAGTATTACTCCGGAAGTAGATTGCCCAACCTTACTCCACTTGGGAGCTCTGACAGCGTAGTGCCTAAGGCACTTGGCTGCTAACCAGAGGGCTGGCGGTTCAAACCCACCAGCCACTCCTCGGAAGAAAGGTTGGGCAATCTACTTCCGAAGTGATACAGCCTCGGAAACCCAAGGAGGGGTTGTTATGAGTCGGGTCCGACTCGACAGCACATAACAACAACAACACAGTCAGCTTGGCCAAGTACTTGAAACTACTCTATCAACTGGTAGAAAGTGCTTCTTGGGACTGGGGCAAAGAACAGCAGCAAGCTTTTGAGAAAGCAAAAGTGTTGGCTATGCAAGTGAAAGCACTGGGCACTACCTGGGAAGACATGCCCTTCAGATAAGACGTAACCAGCATCAAGGACAGCTTTGGCTGGGCTTTGGGGCTAGATCAGGATGGAACTCAGTCTCCCTAGGGTTTTGGTCCCAACTGTGGAGGAGGGCAGGGAATTGGTATAGTCCCATAGAAAAACAATTGTTGGCAGCCTGTGATGCTCTCCACCAAGTGGAACTGCTAACAGGGGAGGGAGCTGTAATCTTTTGCACAAGTTTGCCCATTAATCAATGGGCTGTTTTCCAAGATGTCATCAGCTATCACCCAGAGAGTTATGACCAAATGGCATGCATATTTGTAGCAGCATAGTACCCTTTCTGCCAGTCTATTGTTTCAAGATGTATAAGCTGTACTTGGCTCAGTGACAGATCAAGACGACTCCCAGGACAGGCTAGTGTGCCACCAGAGCCACCTCCATTCTCTGCCAGGACAGAGGAAGGCCCATGACCAGCAACTGCCTGGTACACGGATAGCTTTAGAAGAGGCATGTCACCACTGTGGACATTCTACTGATATGATCTGGTCTGAAAACGGCTCAATGTAAAGCAATCAATGAATTGAGTTAAAGGCTGTGTGCATGGTCATCGCCCACAAACCCTGGCTCTTAACCCTTGGTACAGACAGCTGGGTGGTAGCCTGTGGGTTAACTATGTGAATCAGCCAAGAGCCTAAGGTGCAGCAAAAGATAATGGACAAAATACTGTGGGGGAGAGCACTGTAGTAGGACTTCCAAGACTGCCTCCAAACCTGGATGCTGACCTGTTTTTCACGTAGCTGTCCATTTACCTCTTTTCCTGCCAGAGAACCAAGAAGCAGATGCTATACCACAAGAAAGAATGGTACATCCAGAAGGGGACGCTGCCCACTGTACTCACTAGAAAAGTGGACACCACAGTGCTAGTGTTGGTTAAAAAATAACTGGAGAGGCAGGCATAGCAGTAAAGTGATCTAGTGGCTGCTGTATAAAATTGTTCCATGTGCTAACGCCAGTGCCCAAGGCATCTGTCCCACAATCCTGAATATATACATAAGGGAATATAGCCAGCAATGGACTGGCAGGTAGATTATCAGGCAAAGCTTCTCTGACAGAGTGGACCATAGTGCTTTGAGGTTGGCAAGTTTGGATTCCCCCAGAGCCTTTATCCCCATATGCTAGACTTAGAGCCTCTAACCACCATACAAGTGACATCACTGGCTCTGGAAGCTATCTGCCTAGGCTGTTGCCAGAACAAAGCAGTATGGTCCTCTGAACACCTAAGAACCTGGCGCCGGGGAGTAGAACCATCTATTGGTACTTCTCATGATGGCATGGGTTAAAGCACTTGGCTGTTAACCAAAAGGTTGGCAGTTCAAACCCACCAGCTGCTCCATGGGAAAAAGATGAGGCAGTCCTCTTCCATGACAATTTACAGCTTTGGAAACCCTTAGGGCACTTCTACTCTGTCCTATAGGGTTGCTATGAGTCAGAATAAACTTAATGGCAGGGGGTTTTTGGTTTGGTGGGTTACCCTA